ACACTAAAATGATAGAAAAATGTTTAAAAACTTCTTTCCTCCTGAAGTCTTCAGTCCTAAGAACACTAAACTGTAACTTTTAAATAAGTACACAGTTTACTCCTATTTAAATAAAAATGTTGGACCTGTAAGCAGAAAGCTTATGGATGTTGGATGTAGTATCCAATCATTTTAAACTTCAGCAGAGGCCACGCCTCCAGCAAGAATCTCTTCTCTGTAGCTGAGAGTCCAGACCCTCGTATGAAGCAAAGTGAAGGACAGGGTCTGGTTTTTACCAGGCTAGTGACACGGTACACATTTAGATCTGAATCAGAACGTTTCAYATCAATAAGCAAGTTGTTAACAAATAAATTGGACACTATTCTGACAATGTAGTGATAATTCGATAGTTGTGGTCTTGACTGGTCTTGAAATAAAATCCCGAKTCAAAAAGTGACTCAAACTACAAGGATTGGTTTTAGGAAACAAGCAGGTCCAGTTCAGAGAGAAGTTGTCTGCGCAGTCAGGTAGTTGTTGAAAAGGTCAGTCTGTAGCTGGTTAGCTCGTTCCTGTCCAGTGTTGGTGGGAGCCAATCAGAGTGGAGCGTACTAACAGGTTGTCCCTCCCCCAGAGGAGACAGGAGGAGGAGTACTACACTCGCCTGGAGGCCGAGCGGCGGCGGCAGCACGAGGAGGCGGAGAGAAAGCTGCTGACGCCCGATGACCCGGCCGGTCTGTATCGGCCCCCGCTGCCCCGGGAATACCAACCTCCCGCCCCCAACAACCCCACTAACACCCCCCCACCCCCACCCCAGAGAAACACCTCCTACCTCAAAACACAGGTCATCTCCCCCGACACGCTCTACACCGCCAAGTTCGTCCCGTACGCGGGCGACGAGGAAGACGACGAGGAAGCCGAGACGGCGGGGAGCGGCGGCCCGTCAGGTCAGGCCAAGCTGTCGGCGACCCGGAAGTCATACGGCGACCTCCCGGCTTCCGCCTCGCACGGTCAAAGCAGGCCTCAGCCGCCGCCCACTGCTCGCAAGCCCCGCCCGCTTTCCGATGGCATCTTCTTGTCTGGCTCGTTCCAACCGCCAGTCAACAACTCCAACAGTACAGGCCCCCCCCTTCCCACCAAACCCAGCTCCGCCCTCCCAGGAGGCTATAAAGGTAGAACCAGAGAGGGGAGCGAGGAGTCAGGCTCGTCACGGCGCCCTCTAAAGCTCCCAGACTCCCTCTCATCCACTCATTTCTTCACTTCCTGCCTACTTCCYTTTGGTTTCCAGTAGAAAAGATTTCAAAACTTTCATTTCCACCATTGTTTTTTCTTCTTTTTGATGTTTGTCCAAGTTTTGTCTCCAGTCAGATCGTTTTTTTTTAATGTAGAAATCCCTCCATCTCTCCTCAAACCAATCAGATTGTATTTGTTTTGTGTTTAAACGCCTTTTCTTACCCGGTAATTCCTCACCGCCCTCCTCATCTTCCTCCAATCATCCCCCCCGCTCCCTGTCGGAACAGAAAAAAGCAATCGATGATCACGCCACTCCCCTTTCGTTACAGCCGATTGAGACCCATCAGAGCCAATCATAGTACTGTTGGTGTTGTCGCTCGCCGCCTCCTTTCTGGCTGGTTGGTTGCTGCTTGGGATGGAGGCGAGGGGGCGGGGCCAGCTGTCGGTCTGCCCGCCCCTCCCTCCACTTCCCCTCCTGCAGCTCTGCTTAGCGGTGTTGGCTTTAAAGGGAAGGAGATTCACCATTTTCACACTCATCTCGTTAAAAACATAATTTCATGAAGGAAAACGCTCCTGTTTGTCTGAGGTTGTTCAGATTGTTCAGTCTTAAAGTAATTTCATTATGCTTCGTACATTAACAGTAAAGGCATCAATCAATCAATCAATTAATCAATCAAAAGCTCAAACAGCAGAAATCTGATGTTTTTGAGTTTTTTAATTCAAAGACTTTTTTTAATTCTGCTAAAACAAACCCATTCTTCATCTGGAGGGTAGTTTTTTTATTGTTTAATTATTACAAAGATAGGAAAAAAGGTAAAGGAGAATTATAAAAACAATTTCATTACAAATATATGCATTTTATGAGGGAATGCATCTCTGCTGTCTCACGTATCAAAGTTCTAAACAAAAT